GAGGTTTTTGATACCAGCTTGGATATCAGCACTGTGAAAGTTATTTGGCAGTTAATACAGTGGAACCGACTGGCAGAGTCTTGGCAATAGAAAAACGCCAACTAGTCAGGTGGTGATAAAGAAGGTTCAAACAGGTAACTAAACAACATACCAGAATGTTGATTCAGAACAAGAACTGAATACTGTGTTGGTGTGCAGCTTGTTATCGCATCACATCCTTGAGTATGCAGCCTCTGCCTGGTTGCCAAGCATGCAGTTTGGGGCTAGGGCCAACAGTGGAGCATGTTGTTGTCTTTGTTCTTATATTACTGATAAAATGCTTTCCAAAAACTTAAGAACTATGAATTGTTTTATGCTAGCCCAGTGTCACCAATTTTATCATTTGTGGGTTGTGGAAGGGACTCATAAATTTTTCCTGGGGATTTGTCTTTTGTGACAGCGACTCATCCAGTGTCCCCAGGGATTTGTCCTTTGTGACAGATTCATCTGTTGTCGCATTGAATTTGATGAGGCATCATGATTTTGTGATGAAGAAACTCGGGATGATGATGTTGCTGATTTGTAAATTTTAAAAACAAAATGTTACATCAGAGTGTGAACTTATCTGAAATATTTTTCACATGTTTGGGAATCTCTTTGGAGACAGAAAAAAAAAATTAAACAAATTGAAAGCATCTTGTGTTTATTATTATTAATTTGCCTACAAGGTAATGTTAAATAAGTAATATTGTCTTTCATTGGCTCCACGTTTGACACTTGTTCTATTTCAGTGTGAAAGTCTGCCATAGACCCCACACTTTTGAATAGTCTTACTGAAGAACTTGTTTTAAAATTTTGGAATTATTGAACAAAACAAAATTAACAAAAAGTATTGGTGCTATGCTGGACCCATGTTCAGAAGAAATAGAGAATCACCAAACAAAGAAAGCAAAACAAAAATCATCATGTTCAGCCAGCTCCTTCCGAAGAAGAAGCTTTGGCTTATAATCACGACTTGGATTTCTTGTGCCAACTGTTGTTGCACTTAAATGGGAAACGATGTACAAGAGAAATCCAGAGGCGAATGTTGATGAGAGAAGCCAAAGGTGCTGGACTGTATTTCATCAATAAGTCGAAGTAACTGCACAAGAAACAACAGAGTGGAGAAATTTACTGCGAGCACTGTGTGACGTATAATGGCATGATCGGGCAATCAATGAATGAAAAAAACGATTGCGTTTTTTGTTTTGGGGTCGATGATATCACAGACCATTTAAGTTTGTTCCGCAGACCACCAGTCTGTTCAACTGTCCCCTTCTTCTGTTATCCTACTGCTCACGCCTCTTGCCTTGTAGCCTGCTGTTCTCATGTAGTACGCTGTAGCTGTTGGCTGGTTTTGTTCTCTTCGGACCAGATGACCAAACGATTCTTTGATATTCTTTGAAATCATTCACTGGCACTGTACCTAATATTGTCCTTAATTCTTCATTTCCCGTCACATTTCTTATACATCTCATTTCCATGTTGTAATTTTGCGTTTTATGTTTTTCTAGGACTGTCCATGTCTGACACTGATAGCAAAAAGTTGGTAGGAATAGCACGATTATCAACTGATTTTCTGTGAGCATGTTGATATTTTGATGCCCCAACATGTACACTACAAAAGCAGCTACAGTCAAGTCTGGATAAGTAGAAGTCACAAGGACCTAAGAGAATGCTTCCACTTATCAGGATTTCTATTTATCCAGACAGTACACACAATAGAGAAAATTGCCGGGACTAAGCTGGTCATGTCGACTTATCCGAGTTCGACTAAAGTGGACTCGACTGTATTTGCCCTATCAACTTTTGAAACGAAAAATATAAATTTTTTTGCCTCCACAAAAGAAGGTTGGCTGTTTGGCATGACTTCTATGGCATGTTTGAGCTATTATGTGGTGAGGTGCCAGTCTCTTCCACGGTGCGAGTTTTACACCAATGTCTTTCTAAACCACCCATGACGGGATTCGTACCCTGGTAAACGCCATAGAACTGCACTACACAACAGGGGAGAGAAAATTAATCACATTATGTTGGTTACACAACAGAGGGGAGAAAAATCAAACACATTAGGTTGGTTACACAACAGAGGGGAGAAAAATCAAACACATTAGGTTGGTTACACAACAGAGGGGAGAAAAATCAAACACATTAGGTTGGTTACACAACAGAGGGGAGAAAAATCAAACACATTAGGTTGGTTACACAACAGAGGGGAGAAAAATCAAACACATTAGGTTGGTTACACAACAGAGGGGAGAAAAATCAAACACATTAGGTTGGTTACACAACAGAGGGGAGAAAAATCAAACACATTAGGTTGGTTACACAACAGAGGGGAGAAAAATCAAACACATTAGGTTGGTTACACAACAGAGGGGAGAAAATCAAACACATTAGGTTAGTTACACAACAGAGGGGAGAAAATCGAACACATTAGGTTGGTTACACAACAGGGGAGAGAAAATCAAACACATTAGGTTGGTTACACAACAGAGGGGAGAAAATCGAACACATTAGGTTGGTTACACAACAGGGGAGAGAAAATTGAACACATTATGTTGGTTACACAACAGGGGGAGAGAAAATTGAACACATTATGTTGGTTACACAACAGAGGAGAGAAAATTGAACACATTATGTTGGTTACACAACAGAGGAGAGAAAATTGAACACATTATGTTGGTTACACAACAGGGGGAGAGAAAATTAAGCACATTATGTTGGTTACACAACAGGGGATAGAAAATTGAACACATTATGTTGGTTACACAACAGGGGAGAGAAAATCGAACACATTATGTTGGTACAAAAATTAACAGTTTATTTTCAATGTTTGCAAACATTATTCCTACCTTTCTGTACTCAGTAAAATATTGTTGTGTAACATTAAACATTCTGTTGAAACGCATAGTAACATTATCCATTCAGGTTAACATTAACTGTTCAGTTGCAACATCCATTCAGGTTAACATTAACTGTTCAGTTGTAACTATTATTATCTATTCAGGTTTAACACTAACTATTAAGTCGCAACATTACCAACTCAGGTTTAACATTAACTATTCAGTTGTAAGTAATATTACCAATTCAGTTATAACAACTATTCAGTTGTAACACCAACCATTCAGGTTTAACATTACCTGTCCACTTGCAACATCCATTCAAGTTTGACATTACCTGTCCACTTGCAACATCCATTCAAGTTTGACATTAACTATTCAGTTGTTACATTAACCATCCAGGTTTAACATAAACCATTCAGCTGTAACATTAACCAAGGATTAGAAACAAGCTACTAGAGTGGTAACCTATTATTTTAAACATTTAAATGTATTTTAACTTTTCTGTTTGTTTAATGTTCATAAGTAACATTACTGTTTGGATGTTAAGAATACAGGGAAAATATGGGGGTGACTGCAGTCAAGCTAATACAAGGAATTCCAGGAAAATTTGACTAAAAAGCTAAACCAAATGAGAAAGCAGAAAAACGTGCACAAAACAACACAAATTACATTTTCCTGGAATTCTTTGTTAAGAATACAGTGCAGACCTGATAAGAACTCACAGAGGACCTTAGAAATGGTTCTTCTTATCAGATATCTTCTTATCAGATAAGGGTTCAAAGAAGAAAATTTGCAATGGATAACAAATTGTTCACAACAGAAATTCGGCACATCCTGTCCGCCTTAAGTGGTTTGCACTGTAATTGTTTTAAATCTGGTCAGCCAAAGATGATACCAAAATGTTATGCTACGATAGAAGGAACAGCAGAGAACCAAGTCAGTGAACGCATACACTTGGGGACAAACAAAACATTAGACGGAAGATGTGTGGCAAAGATGGAAGTGAAGTTTACACCTAGCAATGACTGCATTTCAGATGCTAGAAAAATACATAGGCCACTTTTACTGAATGTCTCCAAGGAGGACAGAAAGTAGAGAGGCAGGGGTGGGAAGACAGGGAGGGAAGGACATCAACCTTATTAACATGAACATGCTATAGAAGAACACTGTTAATAGGAACTCACTTTAGAATAACGCTGTTAACATGAACTCACTTTAGAACACTGTTAACATGAACTGGCTTTAGAACACTGTTAATAGGAACTCACTTTAGAAAAAAAATTTGAACATGAACTTGCTTTAGAACATTGTTTACATGAACTCACTTTAGAACACTCACATAACACAAACTTGCTTTAGAAGAACACTCTTGTTAACATGAACAAAGTTTTGGTCCAAGCGGGGATGTATTAACATTATTTTAAGCAAGACAAAGGCTTGGCCACTGCGCCATGAAAACCCATGTATATCTAAGAAATGTAATCAGCAAACCAGGAAGAACTTGGTGACTGCAGAGAAGTTGTTTTCAGGAGCAAAATTAACAGTTGGAATAATTAATGATTGTTTGGGGAAGTGCTCATAAAAAAAAGAACTTAATATTTAATTTTAGGGAAAAGCTCATAAAAAAAAAAAAAACTTGATATATAACCAGAAAAAGAAAACACAAATGGCATGCGATGAGAAGTTTTAGGAACAACAATGACTGAAAAGTTCACGACAGCAAAAGCGGCCTGGGAACAGTTATGCAAGATAACTCAGAAGATGTCACTGGGGAATGTTGATAGAATTGACTGAGAACAGAAGTGACAATTATGTGAACCTCGGCACTCCTACGAATAACGGCCTCAAATGATCTAGGTCAAAAACCTACCCTTACAGGGCCTGAACTTCTATGGCACATAGCAAGGCACATGATGATGATGTCTGGTAACCCATTAACTATCCTATTATAATTCATTAATTGCTGAATGGACGCTGTAACCAGTGACTATTTAACCATAAAAAGTTCCGCGCTAACCACTGAATGGATATTTTAAGCTCTGACCATTAAACAGTAAGTGGTAATCTATTATATTTCGACTGCTAATTCTCTAACCATTAGTGGATGCGGATAAAATGCTAATAACTAATTAACATTCATGAGTTAATTTTCCGAAGCCTGCACATCCTTGGATTTATCCCCAACTTGATTGACCGCATGGCCATTGCTCTATTAAAATGTCTCTGCTGGGTCTTAGATCCGTCGGCTGAGTCCTGGAAATTGGTTTCTATTGATGTAACCACCCCGAACAGAACCCCGACAACTAAAAATAAAATAATTAACAGTGTGAGATGTGTCACCGACGGCGATGGGCTGGAGTCAAGGTCTCGGAGGTGGGATTTTGCTGGCTGGAAATCGGGGTTGAGCTCCAGAGCTTGACGAAAGTGTGCAGCTGCTTCTTGGTGCTGGCCTAGAGATTTGAGTACTTCCCCAAGTGTGTAATGTTGCAGCCAGGAGTTCTGTCCTTTTGGTTGAAGGTGCAGCGAACGCTGGGCCAGGAAAATGGCATCGTCTAAATACTGATGGAAGACAAAAATATATACACAGCGTAAAGGCTGATTCAGACGCAGTGAGAGCAAAACTAGACTCAATGAATCTCCATCTACAACACATTTTACAACTGCTTTCTTTGCTTCTATACGGTTAGTTACCTGTCCTTTACAGGATGATGCACAACCACCCAAAGCATTTATTTTGGTTGTTGTGGGTTTTCTCTGCAAATTTTATGTTTAACAGTTTGCCACTGCTTTCTGAACAGTCAGCTATTGATACTACAGTCGAAAGCAACGCAAGACATATTGTCCGCAACTGGGATCGATCCCAGTACCCTGGCATTACAAAGTGCATCGCCTGAGCCACAGACGCAGACTGCTGCTACACAGCGGCAAATAAATGATCAAGTGAGTAGGAATGAGTGGGAATGCCTGTCAGCATATGGAAGCAAGACCGACTATTGATTCTAGAGTACAGCCCCTGTAATAAATTGTTCTAAAAACTGACTAATCTACATTTTTAAACCTCCCTCGGAAATATTTAAAGATAGCATTTAATACAGCATAAACTACATGAACAGAGGCAAGCATTAAACTGAATACATTCCCTGGGGTCTACAAATGCAGCAGATGATTCACAATGTCAGAATTTTAACCAATAAGGCAGCAGGAAAATCATGATGTCAAAATGCCCCCACCCCTGTTTGGGTTCCTGGGTCCCACCATGGAAAAACAAAAATAGACGCACTGCACCATAACAACCATGATGTAAATAAAAGGTGACTAATAAGGGGCATCTCCTTCTCAGTGCATCTGCCTAAGAGATGAAGAACCAACAGTCTGCATACAAATAAGCCTTTTAACACTAGTGGTACGCTGGGCATACAATGCTAGACTCTGAGGGTGATGTGGCTGTTATTCGTCCGTCACACACACACACAAGTGACTATAGCTGATTGTCCGTGAGTCTGGAAGTGACTTATAAGCCCAATATGGGTCTGGAGGAATCTAGGACAATGGGGGCAGGGAACAGTATCAATAGGTCAAGGGCCTGTTAAACGGATCTTTCTAGCCTGCCTGAGCTGTTCAGCTGCCCTTTTTCTAAATGCCATGCAAGTCACTTCTTCCGGCAGGTGTTCACCATACTGTCTGGTCTTGTGCAGCAGCCTCCCAAGTGTTAACATCACACTGTCTGGTCTTGTGCAGCAGCCTCCCAAGTGTTAACATCACACTGTCTGGTCTTGTGCAGCAGCCTCCCAAGTGTTAACATCACACTGTCTGGTCTTGTGCAGCAGCCTCCCAAGTGTTAACATCACACTGTCTGGTCTTGTGCAGCAGCCTCCCAAGTGTTAACATCACACTGGATGCCTTTACTTTACAGAACATTATCTGGTCCCGTCTGGCTGGACCACCTGGGAGCCAAGTTGAATTTTCAAAACACCTGGCTCGACACAGATCTGAACCCGAGACCTTCGGGTCTTGCAGCTGTATTAATAGGAAATAACATATCTGGTCACTGCTATCACTTGACCATAGGCCAGTGACTGGGAAAAGAAATATACTGATCACTACAGAACCTCGGCTAACCAAAAAAAAAAAAAAAAAAAAAAATTAAGTGTTTTGTTCTTTAAAACTTGATTAATCTGACAGACAAAGAATGAAATGGTTCAGCCAACTAGTGAGAATGCAGCTAGACCATAAGAGACCTGTTATAGAAGAACACTTGGGAGGAAGTCCAAGAAAGAGATGAATAAACTGTGTAGCAGAAACCTGCAAAAAAAGATGAGAAAATCCATCACTAAAGCCACCGTGAAATACAGAAAATCATGATGCTGGGCTACAACCTGGTCTCAGTGAGATGACAGAAGATAAAGTTCTTTAACAATGAACAATAAAACTAATGAAAAAGAAACATCTGGCTGTACCTGTAAATTAAATAAAACTCTTGCAAGGTTCAGGAGAATGTCGGGGTCTTCGGGAGATATGTTTAGAGCTTTACGGAAACATTCAATGGAGTTCTGTGTGTTGCCTTTGATTCTCCAGAAATTTCCAATGAGGTTGTAAACTTGTGCTGACTTTTCTCGCTGAAATATATATGATGTTATAATTAGGTTTAAAGTTTAGTGTGTGTGTATGTGTTCTTATATTTTTTAAGGTTTAACTACTTGTTATAAATAATGTTAGTGGCAGGCTGAGTTGAGTTGAGTCAAGAACTGACATCACAGCCCTCTAGGCATTCCCATGCGTGCTCCGTCCTCATCTTCAGCAGCTGTTAGTGGCAGGTTCAGCTAGTTAGCATATATGATAATAATTGTTGTTAGTCAGAGCTCCGATTTCATAGCAGACCAGTCACGCCTACATTCATTTGTATCTGCGCCAACAAAAATCACACAACATGCCCATCACTGCTCCACGTTTAAAAAAAAATGGAACAGACTGCAGTCTAGAAAATCCAACAGCCCATGATATGATTTAATTTGATTCCAGAACCGACATCACAGCACTTGAGGCATTCCCATTAGCGCTCCTTCCCCATCTTCAGCAGCCAGCGAAGAGTTCCGATACTAATGGTGCCAGTAGCATTCTGATTAAACGTCCGTCTTGCATTTCCTCTGAGCCTCAAGCATCTGCCAGAACCTCTCGTCATTTCCCCCTGCATAAAGCTCACCAGACTGTGGTGACCCATCTGCTCCTCCGAACTGTAAAAGCTCTACCACAAAGCACTAACCACGTCTGCCTTATCATGCATCAGTATTCCACCAAGCTGTGCAGAGCCAGCCAGTCTGTCCGCCTGTTCATTTCCCAACACACGGGTGTACCCTGGTAAAACCAGACAATACTCCTCATCCGTGTCCTTCGCAGCGAGGCATGCCACTCTGCACGAAACATGCCTGTCCTGATCTTCCTCAGCATGATTTCTGAGTCAGTTACAATCACAATGTGTGTGTTCTCTAGCCAGCAGACAGCTGCAGTGACCGCCTCCACCTCCATTCTTAAGCTGGATGTTGTCGTATCATATGCTAGGCTCTCCTGCACCTAACGTCAACCATTAACTTTTGCTAAGAAACCCCAAGCACTTCTTTTGCCTCTTGACACTGAACCATCTGTGTAAATGATCAAATCTTCTGAGTGAGCATTATCTTGAATTAAATGCTGAATTTCCACCTCTGTGGCACCTGCTGGCTAGTCTATGCATTCCCGGCTCAGTGTTATTACGACCCTACAAAAGTCTGACTATTCAGGTGGCACTTTGACCCACTCCTTTCCTCGCCTAATGTTCTCAAGGATGCAAACCTGCCTGATTGTGTCTTCTGCCTGAGCCATCCATGACTTCCCTTTTATCAGCCGTTGACTCTGAACTCTTTAAGACCCAAACAACGGTGTGAGCCTTGTTTGAGAAGTTCCATTTTGCCCAAACAACGGTGTCATTGTCGATCATTTGTCATTTACATTTTGTTTCGCACACGCTTTCGTACTAGTTTCTAATGTTTGGAGGTACGATTAAACTATTCAGGGAAAGTCACTCTGCCGAAATCCTCTTAGTTTCATTTCCTGGACTAAACCATACGTGGATAATTTGAGATAAAAAACAGCAAAGTTTTTTCAACAGTTCATTTTCTAAGTTCGTTTTTGAGTGCCACGAATACCAATGTTCCAACTACAAGTACAGGTCGCAGAATGCGTCTTTCTGTGGCCAAAGCTCTTAAATTGTTTCAGTCAGATGTTTTTAATTGTGATAATGATAATAACAATTTAGATTTTTTGGAAAGTGATTCGGACGGTGAATTTTCACCAGTGAAGCTGAGCAATCAGCTGTTCGGAATCTAGCCATTCTGATGAGTTTATTACACAGACAATGTCCCATACTACCGTATTTATGGTGTAAGAAAAGGAAAATGCTCTAAACAAAGAGATTGTACTATACTATGGCTAAGCTATATTGAAATCATCGCAGCTACAGTCTGTAAATAACTGTACAAAGTAAACAGTAAATAGCGTGTGTGTAATGGCTTATTTTTCTGCCATTTTTTCTCTGAAATTTTGCTTAGCACTCGATGAGAACTAAGAGCCCCTGAGTGCTAAACTAACCCAGAAAGTTTTCATAACTTTGGAATTTGTTAGGAAATTGAACAAATTTTGAAGTTTTTTTCTCAAATTTGGTTATTTACTACTCTTGTGGCTGCAACCCCATAGTAAGTGAAGAATTTTTGTGTGAAACGTCCTTGTGAAATTAACACCTGCTGAATTCTTCTTTGCCACTAACTATAACAAAATTAAACAAACACTTATCATCAGATTCAAAATGAACATTCATTTCTATTTTTAAAATATATACTTTTATAGGGTTAGAAGTATATTACAATCTCTATAGCCTTTCTTGTACACCCACCCCTCTGCAATTTCTTTAAAGGGAAATTAATGTGGGCCAAGTCAAAATTCATGGGCCTGAAAGAGTTAACTGTACCCAGAGCTTCGTGCAAAGGGTGGTCTGTGTCTGCAGCTACCCTGAGATATGACTTCGCCTGCAGCACCTTGTGCCTACTTGCAACAGTCAGCAAACCAAGAATGTATAGCATACACACCACTGGGGTGTCTCTGGTGCAACCCATAATTACCCGCATAGCCGCGTTCTGTATGCGCTCTAGTTTGTCCATCTGACTCTTTGAGACGGTAAGCATTCCCAGGCCATAATCAACCACTGTTATGAGCTGATATAGTGTGAAAAGCATTCTCTGCACTAGGTCAATTGCAGCCATTAAGTCCTTTTTGGCATCTTGTCACAACTCTCCACATGGTCCTTAAAGGACAGGCTCCTGTCAAATGTAATTCCCAGATACTTCAGTTTGCTCTCTCTGTTGATGTTTTTACCATCTATCGTGAGACTTGGGACACTAGCTTTAACGAATCTGTTGTCCAGAGAACACCACGACAGCCCTCATTTCTGTACACTACTCAGTCACTTTGTCTACTGTCACTTGTAGCTCCCGAGCTGTTTGTTCCCTCTTACCCCTGCCTTTGTGCAAGTATATCATCTGCAAAAGTCAGTATCCTTCCAACAGCATAGATAAGCATTAAATGCCTAAACAACTGTCAGAGGTGGCGACAAGACCAGTTCATCACAAAGGTTGCAGTTCCTTATCAATGGAAGCAGCCAGTCACAATAAATCAGCGGATGCACATTCATTACTGCATAAGGCATAGCTGCAATAGGCCACCTACCATTTTCTAAAAATGCATAGACTAAGCATCTAAAATAATATCTACATCTCACAGTGCTGCACCATGCATTTAACTTAGTAGATGGCTAATTAACAACATACTTTCGGTTGACATAAGGGAACATGTGTCTGCAAACCATGATCAGAAGCAGGTAACACTTCAAGACTTTAAAGGACGGCTTGTCTATCAAGCATACTGTTCCAAAAGCAATACAATAGAATATTTGACAGGTTAAAAATATAACTTTCCATGCCTGTCAGCATGGCACAAGATGATGATTCAAAATGCTCCACTTACCTGGCCAGGGCCTGTTCTTTCAATATCTTGTTTAGCTTTCCTCAGTTTCTGTTCCAGCTGGGTCATGTCAACTTCTGAGGACTTCCCATTGCTCTGGAACACCATGGCAACGTCTGGCTCAGGCACATGTAACAGGAGATGTCTGTCTGAGATTCCTGCAAGAAACCAGTTCAACAGCCTGAGTGCCTGATGCCATGCAGATTCTTTTGGTAGCAAAATCAATTTATTCTGCAATTTAAATTCAAAGGTCGAGGGCAGAGCAAGAGGTAGACAATGATACACATGGGAGGACAACATCAAGAGTTGGACGAACTGCAGTCTGAGAAAGTGTACAACCAAGAAAAGATATAGAGCATGCTGGAGATCCATTGCCGTCAACCTTCAGTGTAGAGCTGGCATCTGTTTCATGACAAAATTCAATGCTTTCCGTCTAGGTCCTGGGTTGGAGTTTTGTTTGACGGAAACACCTGAAAGCTTTAACAATCCATGACTAATCCCAACAAGATTGTGTGTATACGGTGAACAATGACTTGGTTTGGTTGCCTTCTACACACAAAAGTGGGGATTAACAAAAGACAGGAATAGGAAAGGAGAGAAAAGGTGTAAAAAACTAAAGGGAATAATATCACAGAAAAGATATAAATATTTATGACCTAATTTTTCAAAGACTAACCTCTTAAATGATCGTATTGTGTTGAGTTGACCTTTTCCCCACATGATAAAGGTTTAAACGTTTTGCTGTTCTGATTATCTGTTTTTGTCTTGGGTTTTTTCCCCTTTGATGATCTGCCACAATGGAAACATTGAAAAAGTAGGCAAAGAATTCGAAAAGGTTACATGAAATCATAGAAATAAAAGTTTAAATATTTGCAAAGAACATGAAATTTACTTGCTAGTCTAAAGATCCTGGGTTTAAATGTCTCTATGGACAAGATTTATCAAATAGTGGGGACAACAGTGTAAGCCTACTACTGTGGTACAGACCATGGTACAGATCCTGAAGCTTTTACTCGATGGAGTAGGTACCAAATTTGTTCTCTCCAGGACTGACACTTCAAGGATGAGAATCAAGCAGTTAGAAATCCCAGAAACTGAGATGGTTACACAGTAACCTGAAGTCCAGACCTGGTTTGGAGATCTAAGCTTAACGTGGACTGGCAGACCTACAAAAGTTTGCATTACTTCAGTGAGTATACAGCACTCAAGGAAATCCTGTAGATGATCTGTCTCTCTTAGTAAATGTCTGACAACGTGAATGCATACTGTTTCAATAACACACAAGTTGTGAACACATTAAATTCACCCCTTTTTTCGTTCCTGTCACACTCAGATCAGGAGTAGTGTATCATGGATTTTCTGTCTAGGACATACAGCTGTGCCGATAATGAGAAGCCTGCTGCTGCTCCTCTGGATGGTGAGCTACTGATAAAGCAGATGCGGTGAAGGCTCTCTGGGATTAAATCAATTGTGCAAGAGAACAGACAGAGAATCCAGGTTGAAATGGGTACTAATAGAATATCCACTTTCTGGTAGCTAATAAAACAACAGACAGAGCATATGCTGGAATGTCCTGAGGCTGTGCTGGAATGTCCTGAGGCTGTGCTGGAACATCCTGATGCTGTGCTAGAATGTCCTGAGGCTGTGCTGGAATGTCCTGAGCATGAGCTGGAATGTCCTGAGCATGAACTGGAATATCCTGAGCATGAGCTAGAATGTCCTGAGCATGAGCTGGAATGTCCTGAGCATGAGCTGGAATATCCTGAGCATGAGCTGGAATGTCCTGAGCATGAGCTGGAATATCCAGAGCATGAGCTGGAATGTCCTGAGCATGAGCTGGAATGTCCTGAGCATGAGCTGGAATGTCCTGAGCATGAGCTGGAATGTCCTGAGCATGAGCTGGAATGTCCTGAGCATGAGCTGGAATGTCATGAGCATGATCTGGAATGTCCTGAGCATGAGCTGGAATGTCCTGAGCATGAGCTGGAATGTCCTGAGCATGAGCTGGAATATCCTGAGCATGAGCTGGAATGTCCTGAGCATGAGCTGGAATGTCCTGAGCATGAGCTGGAATGTCATGAGCATGATCTGGAATGTCCTGAGCATGAGCTGGAATGTCCTGAGCATGAACTGGAATGTCCTGAGCATGATCTGGAATGTCCTGAGCATGAGCTGGAATGTCCTGAGCATGAGCTGGAATGTCCTGAGCATGAGCTGGAATGCCCTGAGCATGAGCTGGAATGTCCTTAGTGCAGTGATATCAATTCTTTATTCATTAACTTATTCTGTCACAATCATCCTTGAATTCACATCCAATCGTCAAGTTGCTCTGTTTGTTATGACGACTTGACTCAGTAGATATGAATATATTTAAAAAAAAAAACAAAAAAACTCACACTCAGAGAAATGTAAGACAGGAGGACATGAGCCTTAGAATTTAATGCTGTATGGCTAGTGCAGTCGCTATAACTGTGCATGACAGGATATCCATCCCTCCCAGAGGATCTCTCCATGTGGGTTCCTGGGGCCCCACTGTTTAAAAAAAAAAAAAGGTCCACTGCCTAAAGAAGAAGAAGAAGAACTGAAGATCAAAATCGGGTCTCCCAAAACGAGAGCCCAGGGCACTAACAACTCAGCCTGCCTCTCCTGTATGCATGTAAGATATGGACAATCAGCAGACAAGCTGAAAAACACCTAGTGGCAGCAGAGCTGTGGGTTTTAAGAAGAATGCAGGGAATTTTATGGAACTATGGACAAACAAAGGAAACGGTCCTCCTTGAGAGGGATCATCATCGTCTTGTGCCCTGCCAACTGGCGTAGGCACTCATGCGTCTCCACAGATTACGATTCCTGGCTGCCTGGAACAGATCTCATGATGATATCCCTCCATGCCATTGTTTCAGCCCATCCAGCATCATCTCTCTTGCTCTGCCTCTACCCCTTTTCCCACTATCTTTTCAGTTGTCACGATGTTCTCCAATGTTTCTCTTCTCATGATGTGACCAAAGAACAGTGTTTGTCTCTTTCTTGTTGCATATAGAGATCTACTTTCATTAGCTTCTTTCAAGCAATCATTGTTAGTTACTCTGGCCGTCCAAGGTATTCGTAACATTTGTCTCAGAAACCACATCTCTGTTGCTTCCAAATTCTTCCTAATTTGTTCACTGACATTCCAAGATTTGCTGCCATACAGCAGAATAGGTTCTATGTAACATTTTAGCACCCTCTTTCTGAGAGGGATGAAAACCAAAAAAAAAAAAAACTGATTAGGGAAAATGGATGCAGCCGGTCCTCCTTTGGGGGGAAGACAAATGTTATAAGAAGAAATCAACTCGAAAATCTGGTGACAATTTACAAGACTGTTATGAAAAAAGGAAAGGAAAGACAGATTAATGCATGGATGGCTTTACCACATGGATGGGGCATGACAAGATCACTGACCTCATCAGGGATCTAGTGGGACAGCTAACCAAGACTGCCTATGGTTACCAACATGATAAATGATGATGATAATTTCACAGGAACAATTATTCTTTTCTTTCATTTCACTCCATCTCCGGGATTCCTAGATTTCATGAAGAGTTCCTGGGAGAGACCAGAACAAATTTGTAATAGTAAACATACTTACTTGTGTTGTGCTGATTTCATAGAACATCCACTGTAACTGCATCCATCTGAATGGCGTAATTGTAAATTTGCAGAATAGACATTTTTATCACAATGACAGTCTTTACTTTGATCGTGAACTTCCAACACATCAGAATAATCTGAATCAGGTGAAGTCACAACCCATTCGCCGTCAGCTTTGACAACTTTATTAGTTAAAATCTCCCAAACGTTGTCCTCAAATGAACTGTCTGTGTTTTTATCACTGTCCTGTTTGTTATGATTCACCGAGCTGTCAGAGCTGTTATGTTTGTTACTGTTGACACTGGATCCTGTCTCAGCCTTGGCTGGCTGGACCTTTCCTGTCAGAAAGATAAGGAAATTGAAAGAAGATTTCTTAGTATGAATTCCCACAAAAACATTCTTTAAAAAAAAAAACTATATAAAACAGGTCACTGATTCATTTTTGAAAAATTAAATTTTTCCTCATTAAATGGAATACATTCCCTAATGCCTAAAATATAAGTACTGGGCGACTCATGCCGTCAACTTATGACCTCTATCGTTGATGCTTACAGGAAAATTTGACATCGGCTTGGCCAGAAAAGGCATTGGGGTAACCTTGGTTATTTTTAGTTACTGCATGCACATTCTGGTCCATTAAAACTGCGCAGGCACATACAGAACCAATGGAATTCAGATACATTTTTCAAGAACGAGTCTCTGTAGACATAGCGATATATCAACATTTACGAGACTGCAGCACAGTAGGAATTGATAGATTTAGTCTTCTCAGGGCGAGAAGGTTAAAGAAATGCTTGTTCTCAGCGATTTTATTATTTAGGTAGCAATGAAGACAAATCTTGTAAGATGGTAGAGTCTATAAAGACATCATTTATGACAAATTACTTATATAAATAAGCCAGATGTGCGAAACTGATGTGCACACAAAATTCAAGTCTGGAACAAGACTAAAATCCAGAAGTGGATGAACAACTACAACTTTCCACTGGGGTTTATAGCCGGTGAACACGAAGAAGAGAAGAGCTGACTACATTTACTTCCCAGGATATTTCCTGAAATCATTATATAGGCTGGATCAATCTGGGAGTTCAGCTGAATATCATCATCATCCCATAACATTACGTGTCGCCGGGTCATCAGTTTCTGCTGACTGTCTGATCAGCTCTCTTCAGCTTTGGCAGTCAGTGGTAATGGACTTCATGGTTGCATGCCTGAGGCCTGTCCAATCACAGGTTCTGTAACCAGGTCTTTCTTGGTCTGCCTGTTCTCCTCTTTCTCTCTACTGAGCCCTGCAGTATTATTTTTGAGAGGCCATTAGATTTTATTACATGTCCATACAATTCCATTTTTCGCCTATTCTTCTTCTTTTTTCTTCTTCACTTCCTCTTTTACCGCTGTGGGTGTCGAGGGAGATATAAGGTTCTGTTTCTAGCTCTTCTGGCTGCCTCGACCATAGGTACATCGTGCTGTTGTAGAGTTTCTCTGATGTTATCATTACATTTTGTTCTTGGTCTACACCGTACTCTACGTCCTTCTTCTCTTTCCATGTATGCTTTGTATGGTATGGTGTCACAAGGCATTCTCTCTAAGTGGGCAAACTATTTCACTTGCTGTCTTTGTATGTAATCCAGAATGGGTTCTGTGCCGACTTGTTCTCTTATGATCTCATTCCTAATCTTATCTCTTATGGTCACTCCTACAGCCCTTCTCAGACATCTCATTTCCGTGGTTACTAATTTTCTTTTATGGTTTGTTGTGAGTGACCATGTCTGGCACTGGTAGCACAGAGTTGGAATAAATATGCTTTGAATAAGATGTCTCTTTGTGCTGATTGGGATTGTCTTATGCTGTAAGAGGGGGGCTAGCTGTCCCAATACTTGGTTTGCTTTACTGCATCTAATGTCAATTTCTTTATCCAATTTCCCATCTTCGGTAAATGTAGTTCCCAGATATTCGCCTATTCACTGCAGTTAAAAGAGTTTCATAGTTGCCAATGTGCTGTATAATTATATGGCGAACCTCTTCGTTTGTAATGTGGTCTCTGTATGATATGCCAATAATTTTTCTGAAACATCGCATTTCCAATGCTTGTATCTTTCTTTCCAGTTTAACTGTTAAGGTCCATGTATCATAGCCATATGTAAATGTACTAATAACTAGTGCTTTAAACAATCAAATCTTAGTTTTGCATAAACTGTTTTTGGATCTCCATAATGTTAGCTGCTTGGCAAGAAAATATTTTTAAAAAATGCCTCTCTAGGATTTGAACACAGGACAGCTGAACTGGCAAGTAAGTAAAGATGGCTCCATCTTAGCAGAATAGAGAAAATAAATGGTGTGGCTGTAACACTTATGTGGAGCTTGGAGACCGTAACAATGTACAAATCACAGCAATCAATAACTGATAAGTGTGTAAAAAATACTATTAAAAAAAGACTATACCTGAAAGTGAAAGAGGTGTGTAGAAAGTAGGGCTGTACCGAATATTCGCTTCGTATTGGCTTCGGGGCCAAATAGTGAACCGAATGACTATTCGGTATTCAGCCGAATAGTTGCGGTCAGGCCGAATACGAATAGTGGTTACCTTACACTCATTTCTGCATACACTGCGATGGACTGAAACAATTCTCTCATTAACACAATAGTTGCTGTTGCCTAAGTTTGTAGTAGCGGGAAAACTGCGACCCGGTTGCGTGGTACAGCAGCTGGCAAGGTCTTGCCTGCTGACTCGGCCGAGGCATTACAGCAAAGGTTCTAAAACTTGGTGCGTATGCCAGGGGTGCCGGGGCGAAAATTAAGAAAAGTCGGCTATAAATTGAAACATTATTAAAGAAGACATAAAGATACTTTCCTCACCACTGTCGAAAAGAGCACAGGCGACAGGCAACATCTGCATTTTATTAAATGAAGAACTTCTTATGCAATATATCTTTGCCATTGAAGGTTACAAAAATAATTCTTGCTTGCTACTATTTTTCTCCTATTTTTCCAGTTTTAACATATGGTTGTAAGTCCTGGACAATCGGTTGGCAGGCCAAACAATTTCTCTAGGGTTCAGAGATGTAGTTTTACAGAACAGTGCTTAAAATATCTTGAACAGCCAAAAAATAAAAGAAAGCAACCAATAGGTTTTGAAAGAGGCGGGAGCCCGAAGACAACTAATCACAGACATCAGAAGGAGACAGACATAATTTTTCGGCCATGTTATGAGAAGAGGGAAAATGGAACATGTGGTGACCACTGGAAAGATCTGTGGAAGGAGGGATAGAGGAAGACAACGAGAGAAGATTCTGGAGTCTTGTTGTATCGCATGGAGGTGTGTCAGCACACAAACTAATACATGCTGCAGCAGATCGCAGATTGTGGCGAGGCATAATAGCCCACGTCGGTCGGAAAGGCACCTGATGATGATGAAACACTATTCGTATTCGGCCGAATAGTTGGTCCCACTATTCGTATTCGGCCGAATAGTGAAAATCACTATTCGGTACAGCCCTAGTAGAAAGTAATTTAAAAGATTACTTAATGGAGAAAAACAGAAATGTATCAAATTATACATTAGTACACTGCCTGAAAGACAAATGTTTTAGCTTGAATGGGAAAGGGAGGGGGCTGAGAAACTAAAAGTGTTTGTAGTTTGCTGCACTAACAAAGAGAAAGGATGTCCTGTAAAATAAAATATCAAAGTAAACGTGCAACAATAATGTTGATACTTGGCGACTGGTGTGAATAGGTCCCACACTCAATATGAATAAGTCAGTGAATGAAATAATTTAACATTTATTTTATTAATATATAACAGGGCACTTTTCCAAATATGGGTCCCAAATTATTCACTTAAAAAAAATCCCATTCAAGGCCTCAAGAGGTCATTTAAAAAAAATATGGAATAACAACACTATGAACTATGCTTCACGTTATTATATAATTTCATTTGAACCAAACTCTTGAGTCTTCAGTAGTACAGTTGTAAGTATTCCGCCTGTCACGCTAGTGGTCGATTCCTCACTGAGTGATAATTTTTTCTAGCACTTAAAAAGGCCATTGTGGTGTGGTTTCCAGCTAGGCTGTGATATCTGCGCCTAATGCCCCAACACATGTGATTTCAGCAACGTTCTAATTAGTCGCCTTTTACAGGTGGAAGTGGATCTATTCTTTTTTCCCTGCAAACATGTGGTCCTGGAACCCACAAGGGGAGTCACGGGTAATGTTAACAATGGATCAAAAACTATTCCTCCCCATGGCGCTTCAATAGATCGAAAACCACTCCTCCCCACGATGCTTAAACAATGGATCAAAATGTATTCCTTCCTATGCCGCTTCAATGGATCGAAACCTATTCCTCTCCACAGCGCTTAGCTTAGCGTCTAATCATTGCCATCCATCAACCAGAAGTGGAAACTAATGATGATGGCCTAAATGTCTTTACTACATAATCTTATGGATGTTTTTTGCAGTGAATAATTTGGGACTGGTATTCGGAAGAGTGCCTATAATAGTTTGAATAACGACCGTCTTTGACCTTTTCAGTGATCAATTAAATAATTGGCTATCCTCCGAATAACGGTCCCAAATTATCGAGGCCGGAAATATACCCCAACAGAACCTCAGTCATATGTAAATTGCGGACCTGGCGACTACACCGCATATCGCGAAAAAGCTTCCGCCGAGTTATAGTCACCGCCAAGAGTTTTCCCCGCCCCGCTCATAGTGGCACAGAGGGCTAAACTAGATGGCTGGGACTCAGGAGCAGCAGCTACTGCAACTTCCTCCATTTTATTTGCTTGTGAGTCCTAACCATCTAGTTTATCCCCCCTCCCCCTCTTCTTCGCCGCACGTAGTGGCACAGGGGATACTCTTGGCACTGGCGGTATAGTCGCCGGAAAGAGGTTCGCAATTTACATATGACTGAGGCCTTGTTAGGGTATATTTCTGGCCTCGATAATTTGGGACCTTTATTAGGAGGATAGTCAAATAATTTAATACATTTTGAAACATAAAATATGAACTGCTGATCCATTCAGGAGCTGCCATACATTTGACAAACAACAACTGAAAGTCAGGGTCTTTATTAATATATTACCCCAAACACTTCAAACAGGGGAAATCCACAAGTCACAGGGCAGTCTAATATTTCAAGGGGTGGTAGATAGGCTGCATGCAGTTTTGGGACCATATGCTGCATGCAGTCGTGGGACCTAGGCTGCATTCTCTCGTGGGAGGTAGGTGGGTTGGAGTTAGGGCCAGTCGTAGTAGATGTTTTGGTGTCGTTAAAAGCATCAGAAAGCCGGGAAACCCAGTCTTACCACCCTCTAAAATGTTGGACCGTCCTGTGACGTCATCTCAGCTGGGGTAGGATATTAATCGAGAACCGAAAGTCGTGCTATAAAACGTGAACGTCGAAGACGGTTGGTGGTTGATACATTGCAGAACAGAATACTTTGACTCTGAAATGAAGAAAATAAAATAAAGTTGAAACCTGTTGAGAGATTTAGTTTCCAGTGGTGGGACGACGACGATCCAGAGTTGCGACTGTTGCTGTTGACAATATGCATGGAGATAATATAGAGCGCCATGTAGGACATACACGGCAGATCGCAGGCCATTCTGCGGTGTGCCGAGATACGATAGATACAGTCCAACAAAGATGGAAATTTCTAAGAGAAGTGATGCTTTCTCTGGTAGTTTGTTGTTGTTTTCTGTAAGAGCTGCCAAGATGGCGGGTACAAATGTTGTCATCATTGACAAGGGTTCAGGGTTGCCAGATAAAAATCGTAATTTTATGCCAAACCATCACCTAAAATATGCCAGAAAATTGCCAAATATAGTGTAACCTTGTACTCACTTCACATCAAAAGCTCTAGATTGAATTCTTCACTGTCATCCTCATTGGACAAGTGGAAGATGCAGCATAAACCTTTTCGGATGTAAAATCTTTAAGCATTTTCTCAGATGGAATGAAGTCTTTGCAACATTTCTTTGATATCAATAGTTCTGCTCTAATTCTAACAACTGCATCAAGAAAATCCAGTTGTATTTTGTTTCTTGCTTTTGAGTTAGTTGAAGTAACAAGAGAGAATATTTTCTAAACTACAGCGTTGCTAACGGGCATTATTAGGCAAGTAAGGGCGAAAGTGGCCAACTCTTTAAATGCCTGGTGTCGAAGTACTCCTATTCAAAAATCTTCCCTGTTTGTAGGTAGTCCATCCTTCTTAAATGTAGCTTCTTCTTCCTTCCAGTTGACAACAATAAGTTTTCTGTACTGTTCTTCTTTAATACGGATGTTGTTTTCTGCCAGGTGTTAAAATGGTAGCTTTGAAAACTGTGTCCTTGATACTTGATTTAAAACTGCCAAAGGGCTCAATTTTGACAGATTCTGAAATATATTCTCGGTGGGAAGTCAATACCTAATTTGATTGAGAGTTTCTTCTAGCACAGACATACATCTTTCATTAATATTGTTTTTTTTCTATCTGAACTCCAGTCCTGTTATTTTTCTGTAGGAACGCATTACATTCCGTTAGGAATTTAATACCAAAGTCAACGTGATGAATATTCTTTCTGTTCACTGACGTCATACAGTCTGTTCTTAAGACTTTTCTGGTGCATGGACAACTCTTGGTGTAGTTCATGAGGATCAGCTTTTGTTTGTTGAAAAAGACTGTTCAGTCTTTCAAATTCTTGTGCAATTGGTGTCGCAAACACAAAGTACAAATAATTATTGTGGTCTAACAGCATTTCCTTTAACAATCTTACTTTATATTTTGTGTCAAACGTTTTCTGGGCTAATTCAGCACATGTGAAATAAGCTTTCAATTCTTCCCAGTTCACCAACATATTGAACATAATCTTTCCACGCACAAGCCACCTAGTAGATGACAGTTTCTCAAATGGAAGAGGAGCAGTTCGTTCTGATTCAAACTTCGTAGATGTGTGCATCACTCTAAACAGTTCTTTAGAGGCTTCTCATCTTAAATAACTATGACGAAACCACTGAGGTATTTCTGACAGTAAAACAACAAAACAAAAAGAAATAGCGCGATTCTCCGTTAGTCCGTACCAGGACATCACAACAAAGTCAAACTGAAAAAAAAGATTTTATCTGTAGGTCTACATTGCTTTTAGTAAATTTGCGTGTTTATAATAGAGGAACCATGAAGAAAATGTGAGCACATCTTGATAAGAAATGCCAGGAAAAACCCAAATATGCCAGAATATGCCAGTTCATTATCTTATGCCAGTTCAATTTCAAATATGCCAGATTTGTGGAATCTGGCATAAAAAATGCCAATATGGCAACCCTGCAAGGGTTGGGTACTCTATAAAAAAGTTCACACGCGGTTATATCCCCTTGAGTTAAATACCATGCACGCATCTTTCCCATTGCAACATACGCCTGTGAGACCTGGACACTTACTAAGCAAGCTGAACAGCGCATTTGAATACAAATGTTATAGACTGGTTCTAAAAATATCATATGTGAAGAAAAGAAAAAATGCATCCATACTTCAAGAATTGAATATTGAAGAAGGTTGGCTATTAAAGACAATAAAACACAGAAAACTTCAAATATTTTGGTCACTTGAAACGTCACGAAAGTTTAGATAGAGTAATAATGGAGGGGTATATGCCTGGGAAGAGAGAAAGAGGTAGCCAAAGAGAAAATGTGTGCAGGATGTGGCGGTTGATCTCCAGATGGGTGTATCAGATGCGGGACATCTGTGATCGAGAAGTTTTCCGAAGGGTTGTTATGGGAGCAAGGTTCTGCAAAGGATATACTACTGACTGACTAAATACCATGTAGAAATACAGTAATATAGAGCACTATTTGCGGGAGTGAAGGAAATAACATCTAACATCCACGAATGAAGAATGTAAAACAAATAATATGAGAATCAACACTGACAAGACAGAAGTAATGTCAATAGGAAAAAAGAAGACAGATCTAAACATAGCAATAGAATACAAAGGCTTTAAACAGGCATCTGAGTTTAAATATCTGGGAACTACATTTACCGAAGATGGGAAATTGGATAAAGAAATTAACATTAGATGCAGTAAAGCAAACCAAGTATTGGGACAGCTAGCCCCCCTCTTACAGCATAAGACAATACAAATCAGCACAAAAAGACATCTTATTCAAAGCATATTTATTCCAACTCTGTGCTACCAGTGCCAGACATGGTCACTCACAACAAACCATAAAAGAAAATTAGTAACCACGGAAATGAGATGTCTGAGAAGGGCTGTGGGAGTGACCATAAGAGATAAGATCAGGAATGAGATCATAAGAGAACAAGTCGGCACAGAACCAGTTCTGGATTACATACAAAGACAGCAAGTGAAATGGTTTGCCCACTTAGAGAGAATGCCTTGTGACACCATACCATACAAAGCATACATGGAAAGAGAAGAAGGACGTAGAGCACGGGGTAGACCAAGAACAACATGGAAGGATAACATCGGAGAAACTCTACAACAGCACGATGTGCCAATGGTCGAGGCAGCCAGAAGAGCTAGAAACAGAACCTTATATCTCCCTCGACACCCACAGCGGTAAAATAGGAAGTGAAGAAGAAGAAGAAGAAGAAGAAGAAGAAGAAGAAGAAGAAGAAGAAGAAGAAGAAGAAGAAGAAGAAGAAGAAGAAGAAGAAGAAGAAGAAGAAGAAGAAGAAGAAGAAGAAGAAGAAGAAGAAAGAAATATCAAAACCAAAGGAGACCATGATAACTGACTATGTGAATCTCTGTAAATTACATACGACAATGGAAAACTTGTTGCACATAAACAGCCCCAGAGAGCTGAATAGCATGGTCAAACAATTTATTACAAGGACTAAAATCCATTTATAGAAGGATAGAGAATGCCTATAGCACCTTTAAAGAAGTTTCCCCTAAAGATAAAATCGAGGAGACTAATCAATGATTTTACACTGAGGAAAAAATACGTCCACCGTGTTATTAATGACACAGTATTGGTGAGATTGTCTAATTATGCAAAGTACAATTTCTATTATAATCACATCTCAAATCAAAGCAAACTGTGAAACCCAACAAATACATTTTAGTCACATAAATAATTACAAGAAAAATAAATTAAAAATAACAAATATATACTCCGAGAACTCGGTTAACACAGTGTTTTCCACTTATAACCACGAGGGCTGGAAATAGTATTTATATAAAAAAAAATAAAAAATAAAAAAAATAACTACTTCTACAAGTTCGAAAACACAACATTTGGGGAAACACTGCCCGCTAAGAAGCTTGTCGTAAAAAAAAAAGGGAAAAAAAAAACCCCCAATTAATTAAGTCTAATTAATTATGCAGATTTTCAAGACGAATGTGCAGGCACAACTCAAGTTCTGAAACCACATTAAGTCAATAATTTAACGAACAATAAAATCTTGTCGCCGGAGTTAAAAACCTGTTAACGCTAAAGAGAAGATGAGTTACCAGTTACCTACCAGTTATAGAACGTTATAGCCCGTTAATTAATATTGTAATTAAGAAACTTATGATTGCAAAGATGTTAAAATATTAACACTCTTGGATGGAATCAGAATGGTGACAAAAAGAAGACAGAAGGAATTCCCTAAACAGAAGTTCGGTTCTTGGTTCTTTCTTAATATCCTACACACAGATGACGTCACATGACAGTCCAAATTTTAGAGGGTGGTAAGACTAGGTTTACAAGCTTTCTGATGCTTTAAACGACCCCAAAACATCTAAAACTGGCCCTAACCCCAAACCACCTACGTCCCACGAGAGAGTGCAGCCTAGATCACACGACTGCATGCTGCATAGGTCCTACGACTGCATGCAGCCTATCTACCACCCCCTGAAATATTGAACTGTCTGTTTAGGGTTAATAAAAACAAAAGAACCAGAGGCTCTGTCCCCTAGCCCCTTTATTTTTTTTTTAATCAAAGACCTACCCAAACAGTTTTCTCTATATATTCACAGATCTCCCTATGCTGATGACCTGGCTATTTCGGGGCTCCGTTGTGGGGGAAAACAAGAATAGACCTACTGCCTCCCTAACAAGCATGTCGTATGAGTCGACTAATTGGGGGCGTACTTCGAAGTATGAGAGCATCTGTATGAGAGGCAAGGAACCAACAATCTGAATACCAGATCAGCAAAACGGATGTCTGCACAACACTCAGGTTCTGGGACAAGACTAAAGCCCGGAGGCAGACGAACAGCCAGAACACCCACGGGAGTTTACAGCGGTGACTGCCAAAACTATTTATACAATATCTGTCACAGCATTAAAATCTTGCTCTGGCGATCATACTACGCGCCTCGCTTTGGAAAATCGCCTCATCCACAGCTTAGGCGTTCTTAGGCCAGATGGTATCAATATCCAACATACCTTCATCTAAATAGTTATACTCTTATCACATTTTAAGTGTTAATTATTTTCTTTTCTTTTCTTTTATTTCATATTATTACTTTATTATATTTCTTATCAGTATAATTTATGTATCATTAACATTTGTATATCTTTTATTCCCAGTATTATATTATGGTTTATTTTATTTTATTTCATTGATTCCACATCAAATTTTTTTTAACGTTCCTCACGTCACCCCTTAGAGATCTA